CGAAGAGACGCCGCAACGCCACGTCAAGCAGTACAAGACTCATCTTCCGTCAGTACTCCTGTCGCAATGTTACTTGTGCCATCGAGTCATGTATCTGCCGCCACCCCCACCCTTCTACTGTGTCGCCGTGTCACTTTAGCACCGGAGAGTTACTGTAAGGCACAAAATTTGGGCGTGGCGACGTCCAACGCGCGCGGTGTGACTCCTGACCCGGAGCCATTCAAAGGCATCCAGGCATACTTTACACGTAATTTGCTAGGGCCCAAATGTCTATCTGGGAACGTGTCCGCGGTCGTACCTAAAGGACCCACTCGCTCTCAAAAAGCATGCGAGACAATGCGAGCGTTCGCTCAGTACGGTATGACTTATTTGGAGATAAATTCATCGGCTAAACCCTGGCTGGTAAACCCTCGTGCTGCCTCTTGGACATGAAAGTTATACATGCTAAGCTTGACTGGAAGCTTGTAAGTAAACTTGGAATCCAACAGTTTTTATCATTCATTTGATATAAAAACCATTACGCTTTCTAGCATCCTCAATACAGAGCCGGTACGAGGATGATAATTCGTATTTAACAAAACTAAATGCCTCCTTGTCTGTATGTCTGTACGTACTACATATGTTCCGAACGGAGATTTTATTTCTGAACCAGTTCGAAATAAACTTAACTCACATAGGCTTCGGGGCGTGCCGGGCGAAATAGGCTACTCAATACTTTTTGTCATTGATCATATCGATTTTATCAATTTTTGCAAAGCTACACTTACGGGGCTTGAAGCAGGCGGGGGGAGGGCAATCGAGCATTCTAATGTATTGACATGGCATAGCGGAGTCGTGTTTGCCAGCTATTTATTTTGAAAAACAAACTTTCTTTCCATACTTCAAAGGACATAATCATCATTGCTACTTAGGGTAAAATGAACATTGAGGTAGATTATACCTCAATGTACACTCTAACTTAAGTGTTTCGTATTCATCAAAGTACCTCAAGGTTAATCTACCTCAGCTTGCATAATGTGCGGTGATGCTCATTCAAGGCATGCCATAACTCTCAGCGGTGTGTAAAAACTTCCTTATTGTTAATCTCTCTTTTCTATTTCGTTTTGTAGGTATATACACCTTAGGACCGCATGATGCTCGCTTTGCGTATGTTGCGCTGCTTGAGGAGCGGACGAGAAAAACAAAGAAAACCACTAGGTAATCACAGCCTGACAATATTGAAAGAGATATCATTGTTGTCTTTGGTAAATTATCCTAAAGATCATACACCTTTGACGCCATAATCTATGTTCTCCTAACAATAAGTTATCTGTAAGAATGAGATGTTTCTGAAGAAGCGCTTGTAATTGGAATTATCCGAGATGTTTCAACCTCAAGCGCCAGCCGCCAGCTGCCTCAATGATAATAAACGGGAAGCGGAGCCCAGCATGAGAATGGCAAATGGGAATTCTTGAAACGAGTTAGCCTTTGTCACTATTCTACGATTTCCCCGTTGATCTCGCCAGCTGCGTAGGTTGTTCGATTGAAGCGGGCTTTCTCCCTCAAACGCACCGGCGTCGTTGGTATTCCGAATCCTAATAAGGTAATAACCTTTGAAATTTGCAAAGGTACTACATTAAACTTCGTGCCGAATTTTCTTCTTATCAGCTCGATTACCAAGTCAACATGATGCGCGATGATATGACTTAGGCGCACAATTAGGGTTGCTGGGAGGAATCTTAAGCTGCATGCGCGTGAGTTCAGAGGCAATGCTAGCCATGCACTCCGAAAAATATTTGGAATGTTTTCCTAAAATATTTGCGGTCTCATTGCGGTCTTCCGCCAAAATATTCTTTCACAAGGCTAACTTGAAATGTACCAAAAAAATTGAAAAATAATGAAATTACTTACAAGCGTAAACAACTCACTTGCAAATTCTCACAACTCATAAGTAAGTTTCAAAAATTTTCAGACTATCCCCTCCCCTCCATTGGGCCACTGGTCTATTGTACGGTGTCAAAATCACAGAGTAGACGACTGTACTGGGGTTAATGGTATGCCACGAAAAGAATGTCAGTTTTATAAAGTTGAAGTTTTTTGAAAGGTGAGATGGCTTGAAAATTCAACATTGCTTAAAAATTTGTTGAGCGGTTTTTTCCAGTTTACTGATCACAAATGTGATTCCAGTAGTTCTTCAATCTCGTAATCCTTGCTGGAAAGTTTTATCGAAACAACATTTCGGACTCTTAGATGGTGCTCTGACGTAGTAGAGCTGTATCTTAGCTGAAAAAGAAGTATGAATGAGTAAGAAAATATTTGGAGAAACATAGGGAATTGTTACAAACTGAGTGCGAGGCTATGTGGACGCCATAATTTTGCTCCTTCAGCAAAAATAAAATTCTGAGGATTATCTACCAAAATCAGCTATACCATATTCAAAACTAACAATTGTCTTAATGGCACAAACGTACCAGCTCAGACCCTGGAAGCGGACAAGCTGTGGCCCTTAACTATTACTGAGATTTACAAATTGTGGGCTGACAGGGGTAGAAAAATTATAGTAAACTTAGGATCCGGGGTCAGCCGCCCTATGGAGGATCGCGTTTCGAGTGCATTTTAGTGCAATTGCACCCAAAGGCCGCGCGTGGGCTGCACCATAGCGGCTAAGCAGAGATGGCACATTCACTGCATGATTTTCCGCGGCTCATGCTTAATCAGAGCCTGAGATATGAAGAATGTATGAGTTTATGGCACATACTTTCCCAGCTGCTTCGGCTGCAGTAGTGAGATTAGAATGAACCTTACTTCAATATAAGATACCTTGAGAAGCTTCCTCAAGGTATAATTTCGTATTCATCAAAATTTATCTCTCAAGGTTAAAATAACCTGTGCCAGCATGATAAAAACTGACGTTTTCTCAGAGAAGGGCATGGCGCACTTGCGGTGAGTTGTTTTTTTTTTCACATCTGCATGGGATTTACGCGAAGATACTTGTGTCTTTAGAGTGTGATAGGCTACAGTTGGTGAATTTGAGAGGCTAGGGTCCACATATTCAACAATTCTAGGTTTTAAATTTTTTAAATTTAAAACTCTATTCGGGATAACACCTGCTTCTAAGTACAATTTACAAAATTTTTGCGATGCTTACCTGATGCCTACTTCAACTGAACTTGAGTTGAGCAACCGAACAAGACTAATGAAAAGCGTTACACGAGCGTCAACACTGGCTTTTCTTGACAGAGCTTGCAAAGCGATTTTTTGGGCCATACAATTCTTAGCTTGTGGTTTTAGTGTGCTATGCTCAAAATACTGTTTGATAGGACCATGATGCTCAAAATGCTGTTAGAGCAAATAAAGGATGTGTAGCTTCCAGGCGCCCGGCCTAGGTTTTTTGTCACACTATTAGTCTTGAACCAAAACCGTGAGATGTTGGAAACATCATATCTCGTGTATCGGTTCTAAGGTGCCTTGTTCGTTCCTCAACAGTTCCTCAACAGTTTCCCGATAGTCACCTATTCACTGTTCTGTATTAGCTCTTCTATACTACTCTTATTCTCTTTATTTGTATATCAGCTTCTTCTTTTGGTTTGTCATATTACTAATAGACCATTATATTTTACCAGTTGTTCTGCTAAGTCAGTGGAACCTGCGGTCTAGACCGTCCTACCGCCACTGATGTGTTTGACTTTCATTGTTCGATACGTCAGTTTCACAGGAGTTTTACAACACTCACAACATACCCATAGGATTGAAGAAAAATTCATACTAATTCCTTTACATGTCTATAACTTTAGGTAATCTGAATGAAATTGGACAAAATTGATGAAATGGGTTCAGTTTTGCCACTGCAGTGTTCACATGAAAAAAAAGCCTCTAAAATCTTGTAGATTTCTGAAGGTATCACTCCTAATCTTGCCTATTGCTAGTATTGCTTGCAAGTTTCTATTGTGAATGTACCTTAAGGTAAAGGCTCAAGTTTGATGAAGACGGATTTATCGCTGATAAGGCTACCTTGAGGTAGAATTTGCCTCAAGGTATCATGCATTCCACATGAAGTTATTTTCAAGGTTGATCTAACCTTGAGCATTTACCTCAAGGTACATTGTTGTATACGGGTTTTGAGCGATAATCCTACCTCGAGGTTCATTTTACCTCAACGTAGCAATGATGAATACGGCCACAGAATGTTACGATTCTGCACTAAGCGCCAACCTCATTGTACTACCACTATACGTGATGTTTTCAAACAAGGGTGTCAATTTATATAGATTGACCACGATAAATCCTGGCTTGATGAGCAGGGATGCCAAAACGTTCACAACATACCAAATTAAATTTAGTTACTCGCATTGGAACTGGAAAGGACATATCTGCCAGTGTTGTAAAACTTTTTTTTTAACCTTTGGGCTATAAACTTCTTTATAAGTGAACAATTGGAGTGCAAAACAACATCTTTGCAACTTTATTACATTATGATACAAGCAGTTGACCGAGAAAAAACAGATTAAAATTAAATCTATTGGCAATATTATGCTTTTGTATGAAAGACATTATACCCGCTACTTTGCACTTTCAATTGACGAGTAGAGGACACTAGTCGCCAAATGGAGAGGTCCCACACAGACGTCTGCTACAAGTGCGCGCATCTAGGTATTACAGGTTGTGTTAGCTCTCCTCGCGAAAAGAGCCTATTGGCGACTATTGCCCTTTACCCTCATTCAACTGCAAGTTTTTTAGAACCGGAAAAAAGATCACTAGAGGAGTCTTCGTTTTCTCCATTTGCGTTTCATCCGTTTCCGATAGTCTTTGTGACTTTGGACATGACACCTGGCTGAAGCAAGCGCTAGCGCTTCCTTTTTTCTTCGAAGTTGGCGAGCCGCGTCGGAGCGATCCACTTCGTTACGGCAACTGAAATTTTTCTTGTTTCAAAGAAAAAATGATCGATAAAGAGCTTTAACTTACAATTCTGCATCGGGGCAGCAGTGGGCGAGTTTGGAGCAATGGTGTTTGATGACATGAAGCTTGCTGTGACAGGGCTCAGAGCTCAAAGTTGAAGGAAGCGAATGAGCAGTGCATTTTGTTGGTTCAACCTTAAATATATAGATGAAAAGCATCGAAAAGCAAGGATTTCTTACCTCAGTTATCTTTCGCCCTAGACGATTTTTGATACAATCGCCATAATTTCTCTCCAGCTGCTTTGTTTCATTGTCAATAGCCTTCATTACATCATGCGAATTTTCACGTTATGTGACATTATAACTCAAACCTCATATTCAGGCAGCAGCCTTCGATCGCAAAAGTTTCTTCTTTTTCTGAACTGTTTAGGAAAGATTCTACCAGCTTTTCTGTCGTCCTCTTCGCATTCAGCCTCTTGCCTATCCATCTCGTCCAAGCATATCGAATAAACTTCACAGTGGGAGAGCCGAAGTGTCTGTAAAAATAACTGTTCACGATTCTTCACAAAGAACACGAGTACATTATCAATTTGTTATCTAAAAAGATTCTAGACATATATTAAAGGTTTTTCTACAAATAAAAATGGATATCCCTCTGAGTTCTTAGGTTCGGAAGGTAAACTTTGTGGAATAGAAAGCGATTGATATTTTATGCCATGCTAAGTAAGCGGTATTTCTTTTTGTTTCCAATATCAATATGCTGACTCACTGCTTCTGGTATTTTTAGCACAGAGAAAGCATCCGTTGCAGGCTCACCACTGGATTGCGCGTCATCTGTCAACAATTCCACCGACTCCCTACAAATCCAATTGAAGCGTACTAGAAGAACAAAAAAGCCAAGCTAACGTTTCGGAGCTCTTTGCATCCGTAGTTGAACTGACGCTGTCATTTAAAGGAATGGCCTCATCCTGATTTTCGACCTCAGTCAGCACATCATCGGCTGGCAGTTTGACTGGTTTGCTGTAAGATAAGACCTGTTGATACTGGAGTAGATCAAAAGTACCTTTGTCAGGTATTTGTAACTTAATATGCGTAGTGCACCCATTCGCGCTACTTGACGACTTGCATGGTTAAAACCTACTCAGTTTCAGGGATTTTTTTTTGCTTTCTTATCTCTTTTGAGTCGACTGAATATGTATTGGTTAGTAATACACTTTTCTACAGTTTATTAAGCTAAAAATGGTCCTGAATAATCTTGTATATAAAGCTGAATGTCTGTTTGTATGTCTGTATGTCTGGCTGTATGAACATATGTTCGTGAAACAGATTTTTATTTTTAAAACAAACCGGACCAAACTTGCACACATAGACTTCGGGTGGGACAGGTGTAGTAAGCTAGTTTTCGTCATTGATCAATGTTAATTTTATCGATTTTTCCAAATTCTAACCTACGTGGCTGGGAGTTGACCCGGGGAAATTAAGTGGGCACGCTGATTTCAAAAACAAAGGATGGGGAATTGGCGGAATCGGTCACAGAGAAAGGCTGTGCAGGGATAATGATGGGGCCTTTCTCATAGCGTTTTGACAGCCTTGGGCGGAGCCGGGCATGCCAACTAGTTACTAAGAAATGCCGCGCATCAAACTCCATATTAAGTTACAAAAAAACTCGATATAGATTCAGGCAAACATACTCTAGCTTATTTACATTTATTATACAAGGCTTTGTTGTTGGCAACGCTTGCACGCAAGTTATGGACATACAAGACAAAGCATGAAAATGTGCGCTCTAAGGTCAAATGTTGGCATTACCAGTTCTCCCGCGCAAGTGTTGTCACCAGATATCATTTCAACCACATCTGTAAACTTTACCTTTGCAAGAGCTTAATGCCAAAAGCTCGCTTTCGATCGATGGTGTTTTTGAACCATTTTGCTTCAGCTGGTGGTGGATCGATAAACTATAAAAACAAGAAGTCTCTTTCGAGAATGAAGGGGGGGGGGAATTTTTTTGCTGTAAAATTCTACAAAAACCACTCAGATGATGTTGAATAACTCTGCTCTATGTTATCACTATGTTATTCAACTTTAGAAATGACAAGATTACCTCAAAAGCATCACCATCTCCACTAGCCTCTGCGCTCTCCGAACTGTCCAGTACTAGAATACGATGCATGATTGTTGCTTTAGTTGCCGAATTCATATCCACAATCGCATCAAATGGTGGCGGCGTCCACTCCACGGGTGTCATTGTTGGGATTAGTGTCATAGTCATTTGCTCTTCATGAGATCTCTGCCGCGCTGATTTTGGTTCAATAACGAGAGTAGGAGGCACAGTACGAGTAGTAGTGGTCCATTTAGTGGGAACGGTGGCGGAAGACGTGTCTAGTGAAGGCAACGGTATTGTAGAGAATGAAGGACCGAACTGAAAGTGGTATGTTGCAATTTACAAAGTATAGATCTTTTTGAGAAAACAATATTTTTGTAACTTTCCAACATTCGCAAAATTTTTATTCTACCGTTCACAGTTTCTTCTTCTCAAGTATACTTTCTGATTGATAAGTAACAACAACCATCTGATAAATCTTATTTATAAAGCTGAATGTCTGCTAGTGTGTGTCTGTATTTGTGCTCAAATTTGTCCACTATCATAGACCCGCCCATTACTATGGCCATCAAACACGCGACCTTTATGTCTAACCTGAAGCCCATTCTCGGACTTGCATAATCAGACTTCCCACATTGATGGGCGGAGCCAGCGTGGCAGCTTTTACTCTCTGGAGCAATCTTCTCGCTTTAAAATTCATCATTTACGGCGAAATTTGGGAGACGGTTGAACTAGGATCCCCGCTAACACATAACATTAAAATCTCATCACTCTCAAGTTGGGTGGACGATCAATACATCAATGTAAAGAAAATTATCTCAGAATTACCTCGCTGTCATCGATGTTTACATCAATTTCAGATTTTGGACCTGGCTGCGGTGTAACTCTCTCATCAATGTTGTGCTCCATTTCGGGTACTGGGAATATTGGAGGTGGTGGAGCTACCTAAAGCTTTATTCCCATTGCAAGTTGATGAGGTCGTTGCATTATTTACATTCTCAAATTCCACCAATGTCTCGAATCTGCTGTCGACGATCTGCTTCAGTTCATCCTTCTCAATTTTAGCGTGGGGAGATTCATTGCTGGTTAACGGAGTTTCAACTATTGGACCAATAAGTGGGTTATCTGTGGTTGTGGAAGTAGGAGCGACAAGTTTTCTGAAATGTTGCCCATGTTCAAAAAAGCGAACCTTAAACGGCTGAGACTTTCAAATGATTAACTCACGCCGTACTCATGGTTGTTGGAATTGTAGTTGTACGTGTGGATTTTAGCAGGTTTCCCAAACCTCTCCTTTTTTGACTCGGATTGAACGGATCTAAAGCAGATTTATTGTGTTCCATCTCAAAATAGAATACACAGATGTGCTTTACCGATAGCTTTTTTGTGAACAGAAAAAAAGGAGAAAATAAACATCAAAAAAGCTTTACAACACAAAAACTCATATAAGTTCACTTAAATTCTTTTGCAGAATTGTGTGACGTCTTGTTTACAGTAATATATGCGTTATATACACTAGGGCCTGTTTGTGCAGTTACGTAGGGTTAGGTATGGGGATCAAATTCTTACAAATTGCTAAAACTTTTGGGTTATTGCTTAGTATGCTGATGAGAAGACCATGTCATCCTTAGCGTTTATGTTGAGGCTACGGTAACTGTAGGTGAAGCATGTTAGAGGAAGTCCAGTGAATTTCCACTCACCAAGGAGGTGGTTCCCCTATCCATGGCAAAAAACCACTTCAACATTCTTAATTTTACCAAGTTTTTAAGGTCTTGATTTCTTATCATATATGTAATGTAATCTTACAGAAATCGTTCTTTCCGATGTATGTTTTTGTACTCAAAATGTAAAATATTAGGTTGTACCGAAAGTTCTTTCGCACCATTTTCAAAAATTCATAACTTCTGATTTTTCCAATCGATTTGACTGCTTTTATTTTTTTATGAAAAAAGTAAGTCATGCTCTTTATAATGACCTCTTAGTGCTTGCTAATGATCATCTGTTGCATAGATAGGAGCGGTAGAAGAAAACTAGTCAAAATTCGAATTCTCTGTGTGGGATCATAAAAAATCGGAAACTTGCAGCAAAAATCGGAGCAACCGGTATTTTGGGTTCTTTCACCAGCTCTTTCTAACAGTGGAAAGTTTGCGGCGATTGAGCGTCTGTATGAAAAGTTATGATTCCCCTGAAAAATGCAATAAATCAAATTTGTGACTGGAAACGTCAGTTTTCCAGTCTCCTTGTATGAAAAGTTATGATTCCCCTGAAAAATGCAATAAATCAAATTTGTGACTGGAAACGTCAGTTTTCCAGTCTCCTTGTGTTGCTTGCTCGAAAATCGTAACTTTTCACAGAGGCGCTCAATCGGCGCAAACTTTTCACTGTTAGAAAGAACTGGTAAAAGAACCCACAATACCGGCTGCTCCAATTTTTGTTGCAAGTTTCCGATTTTTTAAACCTACACAGAAAATTAAAATTTTGACCAGTTTTCTTCTACCGCTCCTATCTATGCAATAGATGATCATTAGCAAGCATTTAAGATGTCATTATAAAGAGCATGACTTACTCTTTCATGTAAAAACAAAGGCAGTCAAATCGGTTGGAAAAATCAGAAGATATGAATTTTTGAACAACCTAATAATTCCTATGAAAAAATATGCAGTAAAAAGTCTTATTGTTTTTCATATAATATCTAATTCTCTCATTATAAGCCAAACTGTTGCGCAAACCTGTGGATGTAGAATATCTACGAGGGAGCGGTAGTGGTCTAAACGCAGCTCGGTCCCTCCACAAATCACCGTTCACCTCATCTGATGAGGTGTCGTTACGTGAAGCTAATGCTTGCTTTTCTTGTGTTAGAATGTCCTCGTAAATTGACTCTTCTTGGCTTTCGGATTGCGACCTCAAAGATGTTCACATATTTGAAGCTTCGAACATGGAAAAACGGGAGTATTACCTGCTGCTGATAGGGACGAGATGACCTCCGTAAGGGATTTTTGTAGACTTTTGTCGTGTACGACTAACGCGATCACTTTTTTCTTCCTCATTCCTAAGACAAAATATTAGTTTTGTCAAAAGTGAACTTTTTTCAATGACCAAACTTTTTTGGTTTTCCTAGCCGACTTAGGGTGCTATTTTCCATGCCAAGCAAGCTTTAACAATTGACCGCCGAAGAATCAATAACCCAAGCAAAGTTTTGAGCCAAAAACTAAAATCCTAACTCAAAAACTGGAGTTGCTTTCGAGAAATTTTTAGGGGCCCCCACTTTTCCAACATTAGACACATAGCGGTATATTAAATGTATTTGCTGGGTTTCCGCGCCTCAAAATAAAAAAGAATAAAATATTAGGTTGTCCCGAAAGTATTGTCGTTTTTTTCCACGCTCACTAAAACCCACAGAACACCAATTCATGGAAGGTCTAAGTATCATTTGATTTAGATTTTCATCCTCTTTCTTACAGCTATATTTCCTCTCTGATCTGCCCTCTCTTCTCAATGTTATCGCCATGGCTTTTAGAGCAGCTGAACAGTAACGCCAAATCTTTTCTGAGTTTTGAAAATTTATCTTCTGCCACTTTCGAAAAGCGCTATGTTGTTATGTAGAGCCATTCTTCGGCTACATTATACTTATTTTAGATTACATGGATCACGTTTGTCAAGTCCTAAATAATTATTTATTTAAAAAAATGATGCCTTTTGATTACGTCTACCACGTAAAATTACCGATAATTCCAAAAAGCTGATTTTTCAAAACAAATTAGGCTTGGTTATGTTTCTAAATAATGTTTATTAGCAATCAAGTTTCAATTCGCAAAAATTCCAAAAGCTTCCATGTTTTTGCCGCAGTTGCGTATTCCATGGTTTTGCCAGAAATCGAGACCTCCGAAGAAATAATTCTCTTAAGCTAAAAACAGCAATTTAGGAGAATCTAAAAATATTACCCTATAGCTCGAGAATTGTTCTATTTGTGCCATGCTTAGTCCTTTCCAAAACTTTGGAATGGAATTTTCAAAAATTAGCCTAACTTTGAGCAGATAAAAATGACGAGTGAAGATTTGTGGCAATTATCAAAAAAACCATACAGTATCTTGGCACTTAAATGTAACCATAAGAAAGAGAAGGAAAAAATGCATCGAATGCATGTTAAAAGTCGTTCAGATCTTCATTGTGCATGATTTTATAGTGGTTTGAAAAAACCGACAAAACTTTCGGGACAACCTAATACATTGCGATTTTTTTATTCGTGTTAAACTTGCTGTCTTTCATTTGACAGGGCACAAGAGATATAGCTCTATGGTTATACTTATTAAGCAGTTTACGCACATATGTGGGAGGAGCTGAAGCAGAGCTTGGCATTTTCGGGTCATTCTTGATTTCTATGCGCGAGAAAATTTAACAAATGCATTTATGAATACACTGCGTATCTGCTGTATTACGCCCAATTTGGAGCTTCGAAGGATTTTTCCGACGAAATTTCGGTTTTGTGCCGACAATTTTTTTTCGATGTCTCTAAACATTACCTGTATACGATTTACATAGGTCTACGGTGGTCATTTTTGTAAAGTATGCTTTGCTTTATAGAACAGTGCCCTAATTCAGTTCGAAAAAATGCTTTGATAAAAAAATCTGGTGCAAGTAAGTAAGCACAAGAAAAGAGCTGCAGTAATGATTCATAACTTACCGTATTCTTTTCCTTAGTCTGTACCGCATGGGAATGGTATTGTATTTTATGTCATCCGTATTGTTCGTGGCAAACGGAGTAAATAAACGCGATGTCTGCGAGGCACGGATCGGTTTCTTAGTCCATGGTCTCATCATGCCCTGTTTTTTGCGGGGTTCTTCGTCCCAAAATACACCATCGCGCTGAAAAAACAGTTTTGAGCAACGAAACAGATTACGTATTAAGTCGTCCATAAGTTCGTAGTGCTTTCATTCTCGACCATGCTTGTTTGAAAGGCTGTGGTTCTGCGGCAAGGTGCGCATATCGTTGAAAAAGCTGATCATGCTCTTAACAATGAACCTATTGTACTTGGGGAAACTCGAAATTTTTCATCGAATGAATAAGTATCGAATAAATTCGATAATGAAAAATTTCCAGTGCGTCGAGACGCAGACTAATTGTAGTCCGACAGTCCCTCGCTGGTTGGGCGGTGCCACCAACTAAAGGTGAGCTGGCACTCCTCAGGCTCGGTAATCCCCTCCTCAATTGTGTTTCCCTACATTTATGAAATAATGATAAAGATCTAGTCAGAAATTGCTATGTTAGTACAAAGCAAGAAACTAAGAGTAAAGGGATCAAGTTACGAGAGCAAGTAACTCGTTGACTTGACAAGTGAACGAATGTCGAATAAATTCAAAACAAAATCTCGAATAAACGTTAGAAAAGATTCGAGATCTGAAAATTTTTGAATGATTTAATCCCAAAAAAAATCGGAAAGTCAAAGATAATCAAATGAATATCGATTGTTTTCAAACAACGAGACGAATTTCTAAATGTTCGAATGATTTATCGAATAATTAGAGCAACCATACCTCAAACTTGCTGACATATCGGGCAAAAGCCGATTCATTCCTAATTAGCACCCCCACGCCTCCTGTACCAACACCCAGCTCCGTAGCCGAAAGATTCTCCAGGAATCGCAAAAAAGTAGATTTTATTCATAATCAGCGTCCTAATTTACCCCACTTACCGGGCCCGGCGCGAGTCGCTTTCTAGAGATTTTGAAAACGAGGTCTCCCCTAACTTTCGGAAGTTTACGATATTCGCTTTAACCTACCTGCTTAGGAAAAGATGAAAACAAGAACTACTTTACTAGTCTGAAAGAAAAAACGTAAGATAAGCGTGAAAATCAAAATTGAAACTGAATATTATGCATGCGCAAAAGTTGGCATTGGAGCGCGATATTTAACAAAGCTGTTCATGATGAAATGAAGGCAAAAAACAAAGGAAAGGCAATGATATGAAAATGTCTTTATGCTCACGGATAGATTTTTGACCGAGGAATCCGTACGTGATAGGGAAATCCGACACTTATGTGAAGTGACAGAATTATATGCTCCACAGGATCTTAGATCGTGTAGTGACCGTCTGGAGACGGAGTAATCTTGAAAAAGGTTTTTTTTCACATAAGTTTTCACAAATATTTTTACATAATTCTTCCGCAAATAATTTTCTATGTATACGGTCTGATTGTGGTGTTATATGCTTTTGTGTGCGCTGTAAACAAGCAATTTGTTTGTTTTAGCCTTGCTTTCAAATCGCGCGCACTTTTCGCTATACATGATTCAGCATGTCAATCGTGCGATAACCTGTCCGAGAAACTTGTGTTCGACTAAATGGCGCTTATTCTTGGTGCTTGGCCCCGACTCGTCAAAAACGATATCTCCTTCGCTTTTTTCTTCGAAAACGAAGTCTAGCCTACTTTCAGACGATCTGTGCCGGGCCCTGACTGTACCAACTTCAAGCCCCGTAGCTCAAGGCTCTCTAAGAACGGATTAATTCGATAAGGTAAACTTTTATTCATGTTCAGCACATTCATTGACTCCCTTCTATCAACTCCCATCTTCGTAGCTCAAAATTTTTTAAAATCCATAAAATCGATAAAATAAATTTCGGTCGTAATCAGCGTCCTCATTTATCGTACTGTACAAACTTCCACCCCCCCTCTAGCTCAAAGTTTTCCAATCAATCGGATCTTATCTCCACATCTATTTTTTTACTGTAGGAGTTGGAGGAATGCGAGTATCTATACAGTTCAAAGGTGACCACGGCTCCAAAAAGATGCATTGTCGAGTTTTGCGGAAAAAATGCAGTTGAAGCGAGCTTGGCGTTCAGCAGTTGGCATTGATGTGAACACGGATTTCATTCGAAACTTCGAATAAAACACTCGAATATAACATTCGATTGAAATCTACTATTCGAAACCCCGATTGTTGCTTGTTCGAGTTCTAGAATTTTATTTGAACCTCGTTTATTGATTATTCGAGTTTCGAATTTTATTCACTAACGGAGAAGCTCCGAATATCGAATTTCGAATGCGGATATATTCCAATGTTTTATTTGAATAATTGCATTTTTGTTCGATTCGGACTCAAGTATAGAACCTCCTGGTTTCGATGGAAGGCGGAACAGCTTCGATTTCTCAGCTACCAAATGTGGAATTTTCAAACAGCAAAAAGAAGCACTTCAGACATCTACTTATTTTTCTTACAAGAAGTGTGCATGGAGTTTTTTCGCCGAATCTGAAAAGAAATCGCGCTTTCCCGAAAGATGAGATTGTTTCAAAGAAGGAGGATGTACCTAAACAAGACTTTTTGCAAGAGGGGCAGGAGGTTCTGCACTAAAAATTGCTAGACAAGAACAAAACGGTCCATCATACCGTACGCAACTCAAATGCACCATCTAAACGAATGTTTACTGTAAAAATCTAAAAAAACAGTTCAATTGAATTTTTTTGCATGACAAAGTATGACTGCGCAAGGCAAACGTCGTCTAAATTACCTTGCAAGGCTTGACTGGAAGACATATCAGTATCCGATATCCTCAGGGTTGCCCCACCGAATAATCTTTTCTCCCGCTTACTTAACAGGAACGGTGCTTGTTCCGATCCTAGAGACGATCCCAGGCGTTGGTTAGACGACTTTTCTGGGTTCAGACCTGCTGTGTTTTGAAAGAACGAAGTAGAAAGTCTGATTGCAAAGGGCAAAATGTTGCACCCGGCAGCCAAAACTACATTGTCGACTGGATTTTGACAAAACTTTGTCATTTCGTTGGTTTATGAAAACGCTAGGAACTTATGGAAGGACCTAATATTTGAGCACAGTTAAATGTAGATGTGGATGTATAATACATCAGTTTCCGTTTTAGTATGATTGTTCCATATTTAGCTAACGGACAACCTAAATTGTTTATCAATATTTTTCTTAAAAAATCGCAAGAAGCGGACTACAGATTTTCTCCAAGAAACAGGATGACAGCTTTTCGCTGCTTGATTCGGACAGGTTTTTTTTACCGGGGGGGGGAGGGGGGAGAGAATTACTATATTAACATCTAAGACTGTGATTATCTGTGCTTTCATCTGTTCTCATGTATTCTTAGGCAATTTTTATTTTACTCATTGCGTTCATGGCCTTAAGTATACTTGTACTGAAACATCAAGTGTCATTTGGTGCAGGTAACTTGACCGTGTAAAAGAAATGCACCAAAAATGTGTTTAGCAATCAGTCATGTGTTCGTGAAGAACTTGTTCGAGAAAGTCCTTGAAGTTGCAGAGCTAAAAGTCTAAAAGCTTCAGCTTATTCCAGGTGAAATTTTATCACGTTAGACATTATAGCAATGGAAGCAGTTTCACTATTTCTTCGTACGTAAAGACTAGGTAAGCATCGCTTGTTTCTCAGTTTGATAAGAGATATCGGCGCACATCATCAAAGTCTTGCGAGCCTCACCCACCCCCCCCCCCTCCCGAAACGAAATCTCTGGTAATACATAAATACACCCTGGTAAGTTTTTACATGCCGAGAAAACTAAAAGCACACTATGTAAACTGTCAACGTTTGTTGCAAAAAGAATAGAGCCAGGAGCCTTATCGACAGCTCACACAAGTCACACTAGCTCCAAAAAAGTGTTTTTTGAGATTTACCCTTTTTGTATTCCACAATGGAAATGCGTCATGAGAAGGCCAAGATAAAAAAAATGATGGAAGTCGAGAGTCTGTACGGATGCTGCCTTTGAGAGCACATCCATGTAAGCTCCGGCACGTAGCCAACACTGCCCTGACACGGTGCTGGTCAGCGCCGGTACACGAGCAAAAACTAGGAAGTCTGGATGCTGCCTGAGATTATCTTCTGGTAGCTTACCTTATGGTGAGAATTTCCCTTCCAAATCTTTTTGCCCATGCGCACTTGTCTGAATTGATTTGACCAAGGTCTCCTAATTGTGGATCTGATGAATGGAGGAGGCGGAGGTGGCGGAGGAGGTATATGATTTAAAAATTGTCGTGGTGGAGGAACAGAAGCAATCATGAGTCCTCCAGGTTCTGCTTCTCCTAAACAGAAATAATTTTGAGACACAGGCAAGGTACCCAGCACTAATAGAATTTCCACTTTTGTCTCGCACATTTAAACACTCCCTAGCTATGTGAAATCTAACAAAAAGAGCTTACGGGTATCAGTTCTAAATTTGCGGTTGTATGGAAGTGAAGATGGTCGTGTAGTGCTTTTAGACGATTTGTCGGTGAACACTTTGAAAGGTCGTCCTCTGTCATGCTCAACTATCACGTCCACATTGTAGCTGGGACGAGGTTGTTGTCCCAAGAGGATTTTTCCAAGAGTTTGTTGATGATTGACTCCGGGAAAGAGAGAACCCCGAGTTCGTGCTCTTTTCCGATCTAGAGTGCTAACCGCTCCATCCTGCACTGTAATTGTTGAACAGTAATCATTGAAGTGCTTTATAATATATAAGAATATTCCAAAAGGACCCTTTTCTAGATAAATCAGACTTTTGGTTTTCCGAGACTTAGCGCACCGTTCGAAAAACAAAGCAAGTAGAATAAACACCTAATGGGTGTGATTTAGGCGGTGGCCAAGATGGTAACACAGCTTACTATAATACAATTGCCTACGTTTCTGCGTTCTCGCCTTCGTCAGAGCGTGAAAGTCGAAGTCATCATTATCTATTTCCTTAGACGTCAAAAAACAATGAAAAATGAAAAAAAAATGAATGAAAACCTAATTAAAGCAACAGGAGTAGCACTAATCTTAACTAGATGCAAAGCGCAAGCCGGAAGACCGCCGTGTATGTAAGACTATGCTTCAGCTCTTCTTATGTGTATATGCCGTTCTGACCTTTGGATTTTTGACGTTCA